ATGCTTTTCCAGTGCTTGCTCTTTGGATGCTATGTCGTATGTATATTTGTTTCTTGTACAGTGACCCCAGCACTTTTTTTCTAGTGTGTATATATGCCTATTAGCCCTGGAAATACCTCCAAAATGCAGAAAAATAGGTACGTTTATTTATTTCCAAGTGGTATATTAAAGTGTAATCAACACCTTGTTTCCTGCGTTTTCTTTGAATCTTTGATTAGCATCCATCACCCTTATCACAATGCAAATGTAAAAATGGAGAAATACCAAACTCTGGGAGAAACGGAAACTTCTGTTTCATGGGCAGCTTTTTGTGTGTGTTGTTGTAAGTTACTATAGTAAAGCTTTTCCACACAGATGGGCTATTTCCAGTGGAATGGCAAGAAAATCTTAATCTGATTCTTTCCATTTTCTAAAAAATGACTCTGCATCAGCTTGGGAATTGTAGGAAACAACAGCCCCCGTGGCTTTGTTCCGTTTGTTCCATCTGCTTGTGCTAGAAAGTCACCCGGAAAGAAGGGCTTTGACAAGTTTTGCTTGTGAAGCTATGAGCAAGTCATATAAATCTCAGTTTAAGAGATGCTTTTTATGCCTTTGCTGGTTCATTAATATTTTTGCATAGGGTATTTTAAAATGCAAGGCATAGACATTTGAACACCTGCACGTCTCCATTTAGATTCCAGTAACTCAAAAATATGTCAAGTCAGGGACCTAAACTTTGTGGCAATGTTTGTAAAGCCTTTATTAATCATTCTCAGGCTCTTTTTAGGCACTGCCTTGTTCCTTTATCTTTCAATTGCTGTTTCAAAATAAGCAAATACAAAACAAAAATTGCTCTTGGAGTTAAACCGGGAAGAAGTTTGTGAAGCTGCTGGAAAAACAACCCAGCCACCCTCAATGAGCCAATAGGAGGGAAAGAAATATAACACTTGTAGTGTGAAAGGCTCTCTCCTTCGCTCTTTGCCTGCGTCAGCCACAAAAATAGCAACATCAGGAGCAAAGCTCTATTGGTTAATGAAAAAGGAGGAGAAAGGTGAGGCTGCTCCAAGTCGTGCTAATCACGTTCTTTCTTTATAGTCTGGCTACCTTGGTAGCTACTGCTGCAGAATTGTAAAGTTTGAGTCTGCACCTCCTAACATTTCCACTTCTGTTTGTTCTCTTTGCCTGCCTGCATTGGCTTTGTGGTCACTTTTAGCCATGTCAGCATGTTGAAAATTGCTGACAGTAAACACCGAAGGCATGCATGCGTGTTACTGAAGAAACCACAAGGAAAACAGCCTTGGGAAAATGGTGGATTTGCTCTCTGTGACATGTTCACAGCTTCCAGGCACAGTCTGGAGCCTCTTGCAAACTAGAGGGCCAGGACAATTTTTTTTAAGAGAATCGATACAGGCCACAGCCTAGCTCACTTTTCCATGTGAGTTTTGATATGTGCAGTGGGAGAGTGATTCACTGTGCATCATACTGTGCAGAATAGGAGAAACACCAAGAATTCCAAGCGGAGCAGCTGCCGTGGGTGGCACGCAGCATCCTGTTTTTCCAGTCAGATTCTTTGGCTGCAGGTTCACAGCATGGAGATCACAGGAGGACCCACAGGTCCACTTTTCTGTCGTCATTGTCATGACCATCTTCAGGAAGGGAAACCTTGTAGAAACTGCACAGTGTGCTGCTCAGTGTCAGACACTGCTGTACTAGAGTTCGCCTGCACGGCACACAAGGAAGGTGCTGGCCATGAGAGAGGGCAGAAGGGGAGGTGCAGGTAGGGCTGGGGGCAAACAGGGCAATACAGAGTGGGGCACAGAATCACAGAATGGTTGAGGTTGGAAGGGACCTCTGGAGATCATCTAGTCCAACCTCCCTGCTCAAGCAGAGACCTCTAGAGCATGTTGCCCAGGATCACATCCAGACGGGTTTTGAATATCTCCAGGGAAGGAGACTCCACTACCTCTCTGGGCAACCTGTTCCAATGCTCTGTCACCCTCACACTGAAGAAGCACGAGGCTTCTCTTGTAAATACCTGTGCATATCAGCATGTAGTAGGATCGCCATGGTTTCCCCATGTCCCTACTACCATTTTCTTGTAGATTCAGCATGGCTTGGTTAGCCAGCACGCATGGAGGTACATGGCTTTGAGAACATTTCAGCGAAAAAGCTCGATCTTGCTTTCACCAAACCTGCACAGGTGCTGCATGAGTAAATTAAATTGGAGACAAACCCCAGAGCCCAGCTTTAGGCTGCACATTGCCAGAGGCTCAGCTCAGTTTACACAGTGCAGAGAAGGGGTAGGCTGGACTCAATCAAAAATGGATTTTGCTGGGAGCCTGTTTCTATTTTTATAGGAGTTTACCCAGCTGCTTTCAAGCCATTGCAGCTGTCTGAAGCAGTTAGAAGTGCACACCTTGTTGAAAACACCCACTCCTGCCAAGTCCACCTCTGTAACAGCTCTCACCAGGAGCTGGGCCACTTAGCCATCAAATGCGCTACCCAGGAGAAGCTCCTGCGACACAGACATTGCCATGGAGGGTGACTCAGAAGCTTCTGGTTCCCTTTCTGTTGCATAAATGGTGTAGGATGTGGGGTGAGGCCCACAACCCAAATCAAAACCTAAAGATAAAACGTAGGCCAGAATCTCAGTTCTCTGGAATCACAGGACAATTTCTTTGTGGAAATTAGTAATTTATATTCTGCCTTCAGCTGATGCAGTTAAGATCAGGATTTGGACCTGAACTTTATTGGAAATTTCTATTTAAGAGCATGATTTCCAAGCTCCATTTAAGCTTGGTCTAGTCTCATTCAAGCTACCCAACCAAACTGCATTTTAGTATGAGTTAGCTTGAGCTGGCTTAAAACTGTGCTTTAGACTGAACTCAGCAAATACAACCCAAGCTGATGGAGTCTTCACTGCCTTGCCAACTAAAGGTAAAATGCCATGAGAAACAGGTGCTGAAATCTGGGAAAAGAGATGGATGTTAGGGGAAAAGCCAAGGGATTTGTCTACCCATTGTGTTCTGTACGTGCTGCTGTCTGCTCAAGCTGTCAGTCCTGGCAGAGAATGCATCCTCCCGCCTGTGCGTAGTGCCTACCGTATTCCAAGTGCCGTGGAGGTAATGGATAAACAAACCAAAACCATTTGTTTCCTGACGCTAGAGACTACGTTAAATCCCTGTTATAAAGTTCTGTAAGTTAAAACCGAAAAATTTTGTTAAGAATTCCTAGGACAGTGCTGACATATAATGACTAATTTTGTAAATTTTGCATTAAAAAAGGCATTTGTACAGTGAAGAGACTTCTGCTATATTTAGAATAAAACTTCATGCGCCCACTGTCAGGATGTGAGCTTAATTACAGCATGCTGCAAACTTTGCTTTTGTGAAGGATATTTTTCTGCACTGCTTACTTCAAAAAGCACATTTTTCCTGCTATTTTTATAATGCTTTTGTAACAGCAGCAGGAGTTGAAATGGGTTCAGTGGAACTTGAGAAGGATCCTCTGACGAAGCAGCGATAGTAGTTGTGCAGCTCCCCACTCTTAGCTTCTCACCAGCTGAAATGAATCAATGTCGGGAGGAAGGCGTAGCCAGTTGCTGTTCCCTTTTTTCCCCCCACTGTAACTTGCAATTCACTTTTGCATTATAGCCCAAATTATCTGTTAAGATTTAATATGGATACACTTTTGCTGCTGTGTTTGTGATTGGGTAACTGCTAGAGGATTACAATAGAAAAATAGTTAGTGAGTTTTACATCCATAAACAATGGAAAAACACATGTGATTCAGGCTCCCTGCCTTAGAATAACTGCTAGCTCTTTGCAATAATTGTCAAGCTGTAAAGAGACTTTTTTCCTTATCATAAAATCATAAAATCACGATGAGGTTTGCAGAGGCTGGCATGCTCTGCTCCAGATAATAGCAGAGCTGTTGCACCTGAGGTGTGGTGGTAGAGGGCTTGTGATCTACATGTGTTGTACCTGAGCAGCAAGGGATGTTAAGGTTGTAAAGGAAAATGCTTAAAAGTCAGGAAATGTCAAAGAAAGACTCCGTGTGTGTGTGTGTGAAACTTTAATCTTCCCTTGTCTGCATATGAGTTAGTCTAGTCAAACTGTGGTTTTTGTTCTTTTTTTCTCAAGGCCTCTCCCTCTTTCAGTGTAGTTGTTGTCCGTCTCCTTACCCTGTGCGCTTATAGAGTAAATCATGTGGTGTGAATCACGTGATAAGATGTAAAAAAGTGAAAAAAAAAAAAAAAAAAAACAAAAACAAAAAAATACCCTGACCTCTGCTCAGACTGTGCTATCTGGAGGGATTCGCGTTTCTTATTAAGGCGGCGCAACTTGCATATTTTGACTGTTACTTGGGGTAAGGATTACAATGAAAACTGCATCTGTAGCTATGAGGGACACCTGGCACCTTTCAGAAAGTGTGCAAACACTCTGCAGGCTAGAGCCCCCTTTAAAGCTGTTCTCTGAGAAAATGACTGTAATGCTGTAAACGCTGTGCTGCGGGAGGGTGTTTCAAGGCTTTATACCAGCACCCTCTGTGTGCTGCAACTGTTCATTAGTTCACCAAGTCCTGAGCTGGTGGTACCTCCGCATAGTTAGTTGTGTGCAAAGTCCTCAAGCCTAGAGCAGGTGCAAAGATATGCAGAGAGGGAAATGTTGCCTGCTGAAAGCATTTCACTTGATTTCAAGGGTCATTCCACACTGAAGCAGTAAGACATGCTGCAGCCAAGGACAAGAAGCTCGGAGAAGTGCAAGCATGGGGAGCAAAAACGGCCTTGACTGAAAATTCAGATTTCAGAGGGATTGCTTTCAGACTAAAGGAGGAAAGTGCACGCGTTTCTCCTGCCAGCATACTAGGGTGGCATTTGCAGTGGTAGCACTGACGTTCCTGGGAGATAGCGATGGAGGGTGCTGGGCAGGCAGCCTTCAAGGTGCATTTTGTCATGCGAAGGTGCAGTACGGGGTGCAGCGCTGTGTGGGCTGGAGGCTGGGCGTGAGGCGCAAGGTGCGATGCGGCTGCAGTTGCCCTGCGCTGCGTGGGGAAACATGAAGCGTTCTGTGCTGGCTGCAGCGCTGGTGAAGTCGAGCAGAGCCAAGGTGTGTTTTGGTGCGTGGTCACATAAAGGCATGTGTCCAGTTTCAGTCGGCCGCTAGGAAAGGATTCCTTAAAAAACCAAAGTATTACAAAGTATGCAGCATTTGCTTTGCTTAGTTTTTTCAAAGATAGGAGCAGCCATAATATGAGAAACAACCCAAAACTATTTACTGGTACTGAAGAAGTTTTCTGGAAAATATTTAATTTGTCAACATGCTACACTAAAAAGTAAATATGACATGACTTGTTGGAAGAAACATTTATTTTCTCTTTTGCAAATTGTGATGTAAATTTTAAACTTGTTTTTATTTTTCCTCTTCGGTTTTTAAAAGGAAAATAAAATAATTGGCCAGATGTCTTCTAGATTTGATGATAGATTATGCAGTACAGAAGCTTGACACCTAGTAGAAATTCTCCTTTCTGCAAAGCTCTTTTAATGTAACAATATAAATTCATGTATCTAAGGTAAACTGTTTTCCTACCCTCGTGGGAGTCGCACAAATTTCTCCTGTTAGCCTGGTGCAGGGATTCTACTGAGCCTGCTCACCTGATGAGCAGAAATCAACCCAAGTGGCATTTGCAAAATCGCAACAGAGGGAGACTCCAGTTGCAAATAATAACAACTGAAACCATTTTTAATTTAGACAGCATCGTGCTCAAAGACGTTTGAGCCTCTTACTTGAAAATAACTATATGGCCATAATAATAAACAACCTTGATGGTTGGGGGTGGGTAAAATAATTCGAGAACATGAGGTAGTATTTTGTCTATGTGGTGTGTTGCTTGGCTTTGTCTTAAGTTTATCGAGGCAGCCCTCCCTTGAGAAGGGTGCTCATTTCCTACTTAAAGGGTGAAATGCTCCCTCATTTCTGAAACGCTGAAAGCCCCCTGAAACTTTCTTGAGTAGTACTGCTATCTGCGATTCAAACAAATAAACCTCACTTGTCCTTGGTTTCCCTGGGATTTTGGACTGTTGGCTCAAACAGTATTTCTCACAGTAAAGGAAAGAATTTGTTGAACTGAATTCATTAATTATGGGCCAAATATTGACATTTTGATTCTGTGCTTACCTGTTCTAAGACAATGTAAAAACAGAGCCAAGACCTTTATAATTTTGGTTTTGTTTTACTGATAGTGTGCCAAAACAAAAAGTGGCATCATGTGAGAAAGTAGAATGAATGCTTTGTCTAGAACAACTTTAGTATATTTATCTGTTTCTTTAAACATAATCTAAGACATTGAAAAAACCTGTTACTGAGATCTAAGCATTAATCTCTAGATGATTCTTACTGCAATTAAGAATTGCACAACAATCTGATTGTTATGAGTCAAAATAATAAACTAGCCAGGATTAATAGACTATTTGGCTGAAAAAAAAGAGAAAATGAGGGGCTTGTCTTTGTGTGGGCTGTGTAGCAGAAGAGCTCTTGCAAAGAGGGCCAAAGCTTTTGGAAGGCAGGGGACTGAAATGGCTGGTCGATGGATGGTATCTTCGTAGAATAAATTTTGTGACTAAAACCTTGCCCAGGACATTAGGTCAATGGCAAAGCAGAGACATTCCTTGTTAAACACAGTTCTCTGCGTGAAGGGCCGTGCTCTATGAACTGGGCTGGATGGTGCTGAGGCAGGGCTACTGGCCACAGGGTTTGATAAAGAGAACGTTTTTACGTGCTGTCAGTCCCTTTCTGTCCCCTCTCTGCTCTTCAAAATCTTCTGCAGTCTCTCTGTATATAAGGTAATTTTAAGTGAGAGTGCTGTGTTTTCTTTCCTGGAAAAAAAAAAAAATCTTACTCCTAGTCCCAATATCAGTATGCCACTCTGAGGATACTTGTATTAACTTTACTCACTGTCTCGTTAGTGTATTGCTACTTCATTGCAAGGTCAATGCCGGTACCTCAGAGTCTGTCGCAGGAATGGCCAGGGTGAAAACAGGCACCTTGAGACCCTCTGTCCTCCAGCTCCCTGGAGAAGCACAGGTGCGAGGAAAGGAAAAGCAGAGAAGCACTGGAGAGAATGATATTCCGTCTACCTCCTTCCTTACTTCTTTCCTCTCTACTCCTAAGGAGTGCTGGAAACTCGAGGCTGTTTCTGGTGAATGTATTTCCAGCAGGGACCAGAAGTATGGAAGGTCTGAGTTAAGTTACTCTTTCTCATCTTCTCTTCCCAGACCCTACTGCAGTGACAGCTAGGTTCTGGTTTGCAAACAAACCCAGCATCAACCTTGGGAAGCAGGAAGGCATGAAAGGTCAAGAGCAGCCTGTTATGGTAATGTGTTTATCAGACCTGAAGTTTGACTGGGCAAATTAGATTAGGTCAATGTTTAGCCGGCACAGCCTCTCCTGCCTATGAACAACAAGGAGTATATGGCAGGCTAAACCACCCATAGCTGGCGAAGGGCCCAGGAAAGGCAAGCGCAACAGTGCTGGACGTTCACGGCGCTGCTGTGGGGCGCTGCCTCCTCAGCAGAGCCCCAGCGCAGGCAGAGCCGGCGTGCAGGGAGGCAGAGCGAGCGGCCAGCCTGGCAGACTAAACGGGGAGAGAGGAGGAGAGGCTCTTCCTCTTTCCTGCCTTCTTAAAATCAATGCTGGCGGACGTTTCCATTCTTTCTGAAAGGTTTCAGAGATAAACAAGGGTAGGAGCTAGAAAAGCAGCGCTAGCAGCAGGGCAGGCTTTGTGTACTTTTGCTCCATGGGGCTTCCTCTTCCCTCCTGTCACTTATTCTTCTGAAGGGACTTTTCTGACTAAAACAATAGTGGCTCATTAGCTCCTGGGTCCTTTTGTATCGGGCCCCCTGGCAGGGATGCTTTGTAGCCTGGAAGGAAGATAAAGTCCCGGAAGACCAAGTAATCAAAATGGGGGGGGGAGGCTACCCACAAAGTACAGCTTGTTTTCTCTAATTCTGTGGCATTTGCAGCTGGGTTGTGGTCACGGCTAACACGAGGCAACTGGTTCCTGATGGATCTGAGTCTTTACCACTGCTTTGTTACTTCAGAAATCTGCCAGCTCCTGAGGTCAATCTGGCCAGCGAGGAGTGGGTAGGCAGAAGCTGCCGTAGGAATTAGCTGCCAAAATCAGGCAGCCCGAAAGGCTGCCTGCTTAGCGTGCCCATGCTGTCTGTGCTGGTTTTCATGCGCAGGTGTTACCCCAGTAGAGGATTCATGTGAAGTGTAGATCAGAATGTAGAATTATGTCCAGCACAGGAATATTTCAGTTCTGGGAGTTCTGGTTCAGAGCAATCACTTGTTCAAGTCACCTCAACTTTTACTGGGAGGACTTCCAGTGAAGGCCTAGAATAGGTTTATATTGTTTATCTTTTAGTCTGTGCAACACTGATGCTGCTAGAATCTGTGTGCATGTTTCTAGAAAATGGCAGAAATACAACACATACATGCCATGCAAAAGTTGCCAGTTTTATAGATAGAACCTGTCTAGTAATATGGAAGTGCTGAGAGAAGCGTTATATCCACCTGTTTTTTTGCAGAAGCTTCCTACAACATCTCCTCGTGCAGAGCAGATGCAGGGCAAAAATGGCCCTACAACTGAACAGATGCAAATCAGATAACTAGCAAAGATCTGAAACGTGTAGTGAACTTTCTCACACATCCGTATGCTTCAGTGTGCGCTGGCAGAGAGGGAGGAGGTGGTTGTAGGCAAAGAGGTGTCTGACAGTATTTCATAAAAAAAAAAAAAGAGCGCTCCAGCTGCATGTCCAAGGAAACAAGCTGGAATTGTTTGGGCTGTAGCGAGGCTTTGTGTAACCATGTGGAGCCTGAACTGATGTGGAGGGGAGTTGGGTACCTTCTTGCAAGCATCTGTATTAGCTGTCTGTTAACAGCGTGGCCTCCAAAAGATGGTTTTGAGATCTGAGTTCCAGGCTGGCATTTGAGTTTTGATCCCTAAGAAGTTACTACGCATTAGTCAGAGCAGTTCAGTACTACTATGTTTAACGTTATTAACCGTTTGTCTGATCATCTAAGTGAGTAATAGAGAAAAGAGGAAGCGCGTGCTGTAAAAAAACCTACTAACTACCGTAAATCTACACTGTAGGATTTATAAATCCTGGCATCTCTGTCCAGAGGAGACAAATATTCCATTTGTTTGAGAGAAAAATGGCAGGTATCCTGATCAACCCAAACCCTTTGCATAAAGCCCAGTGTCAGTGCTCAAGACACCGGGAGCACCTACTGAAAATAGCACACGTAGTAATTTGTTTACCCGGCTGACTTGGGCACAGAGAATAACTGCCCTGAGGGCCAGATCCAGTCCTTGTGCCACAGACTGGCCAACTCCAGTCTTTAGCATCACAATAAGTGAAACATTTTAAAGCACATTAATGGCTCTGCCACCCATGCTTTGTTTGGAAAAATACCAGAATCCATTTTGGAAAAGCGGCTGGAGAAGCGAAGCTCTCTTGGTTTGAAATGGCTGACAGAAGTGTCACACAGGCGTCTGATGGCCTTGTCAATCAGACCCTGAACTACTCGCAGTGAGATTTCAGATTTCAGTGAGGCATTTTAAGGTAAGCTAGTACACTTTCCGGTTTGTTTTAAACGCTGTGCTGTGAAATCCAGTGATGGCTGGAGGTGACTCAGGTCCAGCACAAACGTTCCAGTGCAGGGGCAGTGTGGGACAGAGCAAATGGCTGATGGTGGGAATGTTTCCAGCTGTTTGAAACCAAGCTGTCCTACCTTGTCTGTCACAATCCCAGAGCTCCTAAATCGCTTGTGCATTTCTCTAAATCCTGCTCCCTAGGCCAGTATAGAGGTGCTTTTGCAAAGTGCTTTGGGATATTAGTAGCATCCGGTTTGCCTCTATTCTTCAGACTTTTTAAAGAGCCCAGCAGAAAACAAACGTAGTCAGCAGCTTCTGGTGTAAGTTTATTAATGTTTAGGTCTATAATAATGTTCCCATTAGGTATGTTCTTTGAAATAAAGTGCAACTGATGACTGTTTTGCTATTTTAATGGGCCATCCTGCAGTAGATGTGTATGACTGGGAACAGTTTAATGCCAGTCTAATCTTGTTGATTCCATAGTAGTTGCTGTTGATGTAAACTGGCAGGAACAGAAAACAATTTCCAAAAGCAGCTCTTAATTTTGGGGTACCTGTATTCTCAGAGGTCTGATGTTCAGAGATTTGATGCTTCACAGTTTTCAAAATCTGACTCCTTTATATGTGTAATTGAGGTATCCTTAATGTTTGCACTACTCTGGAAACTAAAAGGTGGTTTTGTCTCCTGTTTCTGTAACTGACAACCTGAAAACCCTCCTGTTCCCCAGCCACTGACCTCGACTTCTGTAGTGGAGCCTGTGCCTGCAAGAAGGAGCTGACGGCCACCACTACTTACTCACCAGTCTCTCTCCCACTCTGTGCTGCTCCTTCACCAGCGGCAGAGCTAACTCACTGCTCTTTGCTTGTAGGGTACTTCCCTCGGAGACCTGGAACTGCAAACATAACATTTAGTCTAAATCTGGTTGTTTGGATTTCTAATCTGATGAAACATGCTCCAGATCCTCTCTGGAGGAAATGAAGCAGGAAATGGCATTTTCTCCATTTCCTTTACCTCAGCATCACCCTGTGCATCATCGGATGAGATGATACTGTGGTTGAGAAACACTTAGGGGATTTTTTTCCCCTTGCTTTTTTTCCTGACAAATGTAGGCTCTGTCAATCCTTCCATTTCCCTTGACAGTGTGAATCATAAGAACGTTCAGAGTTTTTAATCTAAGCAGATTACAGACATCAGATGTACAGATATCAATTTATTACATTTTTCTTCTGTAATATTGATAAATAGGGAACTTTATCTGTTGTGTAGGCCTAGGTTCTGGAAAAGGCTATTTTATTCTCAGGAATGATTCACTCAAACTGTAAAGGAATAGCCATGCTGTCATGGCACCTTTTATTCAAAGGGAATGAGAAGGAGGAAATACTTTCTTGCTGCTTTAAACCTTACTGTGTGTTTTGTGCATCTTCTTTGGCCAGATCTCAAAGATGGAAACTGGTCAGTCCTTTCTGAGGTACCATTTTAAATCAGTGAAATGTGTTTTTAAAAGTAAGCAGCATGCAATGGATGTCTTCAAGTGACTGAATCTCAAAAAAAAAAAAAAAGTAATAATTTCATTCTGAAATGAAAATTTCCTTGGGGATCCAACTGTAGTGGCAGTGTGTACACATCTGTTCCCGCTCTGTGTGGGAGAGCGCACGGGACAGGAGGAGGGGCACGGCGCCAGCCTCATGCCCGAGCAGCTCTGGTCTGAGGGAGCAAACAACCTCCTTACTGCTCAGTGGTTCACTACCAACAGATGGGAAGAAAGAGGGTGGCACATTCTCTCTTAGCAGAGTAAGGAGTGTGAAAATAACATCTGGGACACCTTGTGTTATTTAAAAGCCTAGTCTGTGTTTTATACTGTAGCTCCCCTTTCCTCTTTCAACTGCGGACAGGGCTTGTGACAGGACTTGAAGCTGATGGGCTCATTAGCTTGGGGGTGGCACAGAAAGTGAGAAAGCTTGTTGTGGTGTTCAGGGAAGGGCCGTAAATCACTGATTCTGAAGAAGAAAGAAAAGGACGTAGTCCCGTGCACAGGAGACTGTGAGAGCGCAGAGCTCTCCTCCGACTGGAGTAAGTGCTGATACCCCTTGTGGGATGCAGTGGCTGGGCCTTTCTGAAGCACTCGGCCTGCAACCTCCTCTCGCTCCCGCACGCAAGCAAGTGGGAAATGTACCGGCGCTGTCAATCGGAGCTTCCCCAAGTAAACGCAGAAGGGCAAAATTGGCAGGGTTCTTGTCAGTTTGGCTGCTGCCCACAGGGTACTGATTATCATTAATGAGTCTTATTGATTTCGCTGTGCTGCTTCTTGGGAACAGCAGGAGCAGCCTGTCTGCAGACTCAGAAGCACAGCGCTGCAATGGGTCACATTTAGAAAGTTATCTGTGCAGTCACAAGGGCCGCATTTTTTTGTTTTGTTTAAATTAAAGGCTAGATTCTGCAGAAGCTGATGATTTCAAGAGCCACATCCTTCCCCAGTCTCATCAGGAAATCATTCCACTTACCGCTGGTGAGTAGGTGAGCAGGTTTTTCAAGCCCGAATAGAAGCAGTAGTCTTAGCTTCAAGAAAGGGAAGGAGCTGTAATGTGACAAGAGTCTCTCGGGGATCTCTGGGTCTGATGTGTTCAAGACAGCCTGGATTTTGTTTGTTTTGGTATCAGTCAGCTCTGACTGCTGCATTGCTCCAGCCCTGAGGACACTGTTGTTTGCCCTTTCTG